ACCACATTATTCATACTGAATTGTGGTTAAAAATGGTATTCATTAATATAATTATAAATCTATATTTTCAAAGATGTTGTTATATATAAATTATATTGCCGTTAATTAACGTATGAAATATTGTTTATTTTTCTTATGACATATTATTATATCAATTTTGCAATTATTTCTTATCGAAAACAAGACAATTAATGGTATAATTAACATGTTTTCAAAAATATTGGACTAATAGCTTTGCATTCGTTAGACATTTATAAATGATATTCTTATACTGTATTTGAATATACTGTATATATTGAAAATTTGCTAGGTGAGTTGTAGGAGAGGTTTTACAATGTAAACTTGTGTGAATTTACATAGAGTCATAGTTGTTCAGCACATTCTTAGTATATATAATTAATGTTTTGAAATAACAAGAGTTTAAAAAAATTACTCAACTATTTAACATTATTAAACAGATAAATAACTAGACAAATTATTTTAAAATTAAAATGTGGCCCAAACTGTCAATAATGGTGAATTTAGTACTTAAAGTTATACTATTGAGTGGATTTCTATACCAAACGTATGAAATCAGTTTAATATACTTCTCATACGAAACCACAGCAAACGTTAAGTTTGGCGATAAGTTTAGTCTACCGGCGCTCACAATATGCATGCAAACAGAGAACCTGATACGACCGGAAGTAAAGGCCCAATACATGGACCACCATGGTCAATTCATGGCCCAGATATTCGCCAACCAGTCTATAGATGACCAGTTTGGTCAGCTCGTAGACTTTGGTCCGATGTTTCACTGTTATGTCTATAATCAAGGTAGGCCCAGTAGTTGCAATTGGGTAGCGCCAATTCGGCGGTCACTCGCCTCAATGAGCAAGGTGTTTTGTTGGACAGTGTTGTCTCAATGGGTGGGCAACGAGCCGGACACAAGTTACATGGTGGAATCGCGCGTGTCCAATTTCTATATCGATAAGGCACTATGGTTTTTGATAACCAATAAAACATTGACCACGTGGCTTAACATTCAGGTACACTCGCGTCGGGAGCGTATACGACGGTATCAGCGAAGCGGCGATTGGTTCGGCACAACCGGTAGTGGAAATTATTTACAAATCTCGTACCGTAAATATACGGTAAAATTAAATCATTTGCAACGTGGTGATAAATGCGAAACATTGGATGAATGCGTAACGGAATGTGTGATGCGCCACTTTTATCGACAACAAGGTCAATTGCCACATGAAATCATGCAGTACGATGATGATCACCACCATCGTGGTTTTGATAACCAGAGCTATTTTAGCGTTAATCAAACGCTACGTGAATACGAATTGCTGAGTCTACATGAATTCAAATGCTATCGTGAATGCAATAAACGAATAGAGTATATTAAACACTATCATATACTTCAGCACAAGTTGCATAATATAACTGGCCAACACTAACATGGTTTTAGCATAATATTGGATTTACCTAAAGAACCCGATATTGTATACGAGATATCTCTTAAAATGCCATTTGAAGAGTACGTGGTGTTTATGGGATCATTGCTGGGCCTATGGTTTGGTGTATCAGTGCTTATGTTTACTAATCTATTCATACAAATGTTCAATAAATACAAACAATACATATTGTGTATCTTCAATAACCAAACCATTATTCATAAGGATTTCAATATAACAAATACTAAACATTCAATGAGTAATATTAATATTTCAATTCAAACAAAAGTTTCTCATCCGACAGCACGGCGTCTAAATTAATGATCACAATTGCTAAGTATGATCGAACACTTATTTTCTACATAGGCTGACCAAATGCCCCTTTTTAGAGGGATATCATCTATCTAAGGTTTTGGTAACTGTCCTTTGAAGGCATAAACATGGTTAGGTAAATTTTTAACAGCATGGTTTTCTTGTAAACTGTAATATTGTATTTATTTATAATATTTTGATTTATTAATTATTATCATTATAATGTTCATGGAATCCCGATAAATGTTTTAATATAACTTTAATGTTAATGTTTAATTTTATTTTTGTGCATTACAGACTTGATTTTGTAAATAAGTAATCATAGTCAGTAGTGTTCTAACTATACATTATTCCATAAATACTTATTTAAGTTAATGTTTTTCAATGAACATTATCATGCCGTATATTAATAAATAAAATATATCACAAAGTTACCATAATCATACATCTCTGAATTACGGTTAACTTTGTTTCACAACAAAAACTAAAATGTTTGACCTCTTTTGATGGATCTATTGTAAATTACCTTTGTAATAATACTACTTTCATATAATGTTAATTTGATAATTTATTATCAGTATTTAGTGCTTATTTGGCAAATAACTTGTTTTAACAAAAGAGTTTCTAAACATGTTATTATCATATATTATATGAAAGCTATTGAAAATAAATCAGTGTTTCCAATGGTTTCATAGATAATCACAATTCATATAAAATATTACATTCAAGTGTTACTATAGATACCATTATTCATATATTGTGTTTATTATTAAAATATTAAAGTTATAACGTAGTTATAATAGATTACTAATAAATTGTTTATTTTTCATCGACAATAATTAAAATTGATTTAGTTAATATTTGTCTGTAAATTAAGCTTATAAATATTGATAAAATCGCTACAAACTAATAAAATAACATTAATTTAATTGATTTTATAAACAAGTATTAAAATAAACTAAATTTAATATGATTATTTTCAAGTCAAATACTACACAAAATACGCAAACAAGTAATGGAACAGGTAAACATTCTTATTAGCCAACATTTTTATAACATGTTTACATTCTAATATGTATCATATTTTCTAATATATTATTTTTATTATCAGTTTCTGAAAACACATTAAACCGAAATTATTTTAACGATAATTTTGAAAAGATATCGCAGATAGGGAGGGGTGGGTTCGGAGAGGTATATCAAGTTAAGCATATAACTGACTGTCAGGTCTACGCGGTTAAAATTGTAAAGTTCCTTGGTAATTTCATTCAATTATAATTATATTAAATAATAAAAAATTAATTTTGATAATTATATAACATTTATTTATTAGATACATATGACGATCACAAGAGGAAAGAAATATTAAAAGAGGTACAAAGTTTAATTAAATTGCGCTCTGATTTTGTAGTAAATTTTCACAATTCATGGGCTGAAGACAGTTGTCTATACATTCAAATGGATTATTGTTCACAAAATCTACAGACGATTATCGATAATAAGCACATTGTGTTTGGGAGACAACCGGAAAAAGAGATGAAAATATTTGAATATTTCATTTCTTGTGAAATATTTAAAGAACTGTTAGAATGTGTAAAGTATTTACACGACTCGTGTCCACCGGTTATCCATCGGGACCTCAAACCGTCAAATGTATTGATTTCACAAAATAGTAATAATAATCGTTTCATAAAACTTTGTGACTTCGGTTCCGCCACTTATCACGAAATGACATCTCAGAGACATACCTCTAATGTCGGGACTTCACAATATATGGCACCAGAAGTATATCATTCTAGATATACTATTAAGGCTGATATCTATAGTGTAGCAGTGATTGCATTTCATTTGTTTGATTTATTCAATATGTATGACTCGTATGAAATATTTAAAATATATTTTAATTTTTAATATAATTTATAAATTTTGTTTAGCGAAAATCCAACGGAAAAATACAATTCAACCGTATTTTCAGTAAATTTCAATAAATTATTTTCAATAATTTGCCAAATGTTTGAATCGATGGAAGACAATCGGCCGACCAGTGGTCGAGTTATCGACGACTATAACCAGTGGTCAGTCGGCAGACAAATAAGTACTCAAAATGATAACGATTTACTCGATATAAAAAATTTACTACAATCTAATGGCAACTCATTTTTCAATGAGTTTTTCATTTCTAAATTTAATACTATTAATATTTTTACTGTTAATATCCTAAGTATTGATTCACGTTATCGTTTAAGCACTCATATTAGTAACGAGGTACAGTAAATAACACCTAATATTAATCAAAACTTACTCTATTTATAATAAATAATAATTAACTTTATGTAACTTCCGTTAATTTACATTTCGTAATAGAATTTGGAGGTTAATGATAATATATTTACAATTGATGGACCATCATCAATTGATCAAGGCAGATCTGTACCCACAACAAGTGGCCAGGGCAGATCAACGCCTACACCAAATGACCAGGGAATACCTGAGCCTTCACCAAGTGGCCAGGGCAGATCAACGCCTACACCAAATGACCAGGGCACACCAGAACTTTCTTTCACACCGCACCGAAATTACGTAAACAGTATATGGAATGCTGTAAAAACAGTCTATGGCTATCGGTTCTCAATGTTCATCGCATTATCATTATTGGATTGGTTCACAAATAGAGAGCACCTTTCATTGGCCGACGACAACGCGTGGTTAGATCTACAGAACAATGACTACTACTTATTTGATCCTTCCAGTCGATAAAGGGAAGGCTCAACTGTGAACTGTTTACTCCGTTCACTTCCACACCAGAAGAGATCCATTAGTCAATAGACATCATTATACATTCATAATAAGTTTTATGGCTCAAATAAATTATACTATTTTTGGTCGATTTTTATCATATAAGTTTAAATCGGATATCAAGTCTGAACAATTATTCGATTTGTTTTAGTTATAGTATTTTATATATTGATATTTGATTTTGTAATTATTTAATCAATGAAGAATTGAATAACTTACGACTACAGTATAAGCTACATGTATTAAAAATACTAAGTTTCAAAATAATTAATTATGTTAAGCATAATTGCAATTAATATAAAGGTTGTGTGTTAATGTTGGGTGTGTTAATGTACAATTATATGTTAATGTATAATTAATGTATAGTAATTCTAATTTATATAGAGTGTAGATATTTGTGGTAATTAGTACATTTGGAAGATTTTTTAAAATAAAGCTAGGCAAAATAATGTATTACTATGGGTAGATATTATTTTCTGTGTTGATCAATGAATGAAATCTTAGTTAAATTAACCATGTTTATATAATAATAGACATACAGTCTGTTCTGGATATAATATACACTCAATAGTATCCACAATTCATTACAATCCCCATATTTTGAAATCATAAGTCAGTCACAGTAAAAAAGTATCGTTATTATTAACAATTTTGTTTTCATTATAATCACCACTTCGTTATAATCCCTCAATATATAAAACACTTTCACAATGAAAGCCATACAAAATATACTTCAATAGTGTATTTACTTTTCAACAACTATAAGAATAGGCGAATAAAATTAAAAATTAATTAATAATCTTTGCTAAGTTGACAAACCAAACAAAATGTTGAATAAAACTCAAAATGAACTGTTTTTAAGATATAATTAGAATGTTATAATCATAGTCTACAATATCTTATACATGGAGTGAATACAAGTTTATTATAATTAACATTTCATTATAATGACCACTTTTCAAAAATTTCATGTGTATATTATATCTAATTTGGACTGTAATAGCAAATGCTCAATCTTGTAAAAACTATATTATGAACGAAATTGATATTGATGAAGCAATTATCGATACAATAATCCAGTGTTAATTTAACTAGAACCAATGACTAGTAATTATTTATAATAGCTAATATAAGATATACTATTAGTAGAACCATTTAGTTTTGACGTTTTTGATTTGATTTTCAAAATTGTTTTATTCTTAAGATAATTAACTTTAATAAATTTTCTACTCTCCATAACAATAATCAACAATCCCTTATTCTTGAATAAATTTTTCAATTTTCTATTTCAAATATTAACTCGATTTTTAGGCAAAAAACTTAGACACAATGAATTTGAAGGGGTCTACAACTTTTAATAACATTTCTCACACAG